AGGAGGACCAATAAAAAGGGAAAATAACTCATGTCAGAAGAGGGGAGAGTTTCGCAAATCCAGTTAAAGATAAGATTGTCGAAAATTTAGTGTAAGGGGCCCCATGTCTGTGTTCGCCTTGGGCCCCCAAATTGCTAAATCCGCCCCTGGTCTTAGCACACCTCTGTTGTTGCTTGGCTTCCTGGGGCTGGAGGCTAGGAGGGAGATCTGGCCGTCTGGTTGGGGTCTGGGGTGGTGGGTTGCTGTGCTCGGCGTTGGGCGGGGGAGCCTGCTCATCAGCAACCCAGCAGAAGGGGTCAAACTCTGGTAACCGGTGATGGTTGTACCCCGTGTGCAGCAGTACCGGGACCAGAGTGAATAGGGTGTGTATGGTGAGCATGAGTGGGTGTCCGGCGTGCATTTTTGTAAGTCTTTGGTTGTATGTGTGAGCATGAGGGAGGGAGTGTGTGACTGTGTTTGTGTATGACTGTATATGTCAGGTGGGGCCTTTGACTCCTCTCTTCTCCTGGGACCTCCTTTGATGATATAGATCTTCGTCTGCCCTCCCCCTGCCACACCTGGTGTGGGGTGCGGTGCCTTGGTCTGCCTGAGTGTTCGTGGCTCCCGGGTCAGGGGGTTTAAGATCTTTGGTGCCTGCCTGGTCAATCCCGGTGGCTGCCTGGTGGGGTCTGGGTACCTGGGCTCTGCTGGGTCCCCGGCGGGGGGTGATCGCTCCTGGGTCCCGGGTCGCTGGGTCCCGGCTTGGCCGGCTAGGGGGTGGGAGGAGGCGGGCGGGCCTGTGGGCTTGCCGCTGATGTCTCCCGGGACTCTGCCGGCTGCTCGTTGTGGCCCCCTGGGGCGATCCTCTGCACCTCTCGAGGGGGGCGGGGGGCCTTTCTGGTTGCAGTCCCCTTGGGGTTCCTGTGTTCTGGGGCAGCACCTGGATCTCTGGGACTTGGAGCTCCCCCCATCTCCTACGCATCTTTGGAGGCAGATATGTGGTCCCTCACACTCTCTATTGGACGCTCCTATAGAGAAACCTTACATAAACAAGTGCATGTACACACACAGGTGCTCACATGGTGCTCTCAAAAGTATGGGCTTGGGCACGTTCAACACTTGCCTCAAGGCTGTCGTTGCCACTAAATGCACTATGATTTATTATCGTGTGATTGTTCAGTTAAACAATGTTGATTTTATATTTCATCATCACGTTGACGCAGTGATAGCTTGCTCCTGCTGTATTGTTGTGTGTCCCATTTTTTTCTGCTCTTCTCTTTCTGCAGGTCTAGAAGCAGACTCTTGTTCATTATTGTTTATTTTTGTGGAACACCCCCCCCCACACACACACACACACACACACCATTTGTCTTTTCCTGTCTCTTTCACCTCTGTCTCCATGTCTGGTCGGAATTACAAAGCATTCAAAAACAATAACAATAAAATTTGAAGTATCAGGCGTGACATTTAAAGCAGACGCTTTGATGCTCCACCTGAGAATGAATCTGTAAGGCTTGTTACCAGCATTCAGACATCAATTCTGCTTGCTTCACAGCCGGACAGGACACGGTTAAAAAAAAAGAAAAAAGGACATTTATTATCCCTCAAAGAAGACAAAGTGGGAAGAACGGGCTATTTTTGGATATTTGAAGAATGCCGAGGGACAATTTATAGAAGACGGCTATCCTGTTTGCAGCACGTGCAGAAAAAGTGTCTGTGAAAGGCAGCAACGCTTCAAATCTCATGACACATCTGCGTGACCATCACCCACAACTCTACAGTCAACGCAAGGCAAGCTAACGTTAGCATTTTTGCTAAAATGCGTGATCCGAGGATTTGGGTTGAGGGACAATGCAACGAGTCGCTATATAAAGCAGCCGCAGCGCCGCTACCTGCATATAAACCGTGCCGCGGACACCCCCATGTTGAAATGACGCTACGCATTACGGGGCTCCCAGGGGCAGATAAGAGTTGGTCTCTCTCAGAGAATAATTATGAATTTAACAATGATTACTGCCTGATGACATTTTCCCTCATCTGCAAAGCTCACTGGAAGGACACAAACCGAGGACAATATTTTCCTGATATAGGGTTTATTACTCAAGTAAGGATAAAAAAGTATCTGATTAGAAGGCTACTTGAGTACTGAGTATCATCTGGTCTAATATTTTTAAAATGATGACATCAAACAGAAAAAATAAGAAGTTATGGGCAAATATTGGTATTTTAAAGACTAAAGGGGAAAAATGTAAACAAATACACAACATAATGACAAAATATCAAATTTTACTCAAAATTTAGACACAAACTGAAGACAATATTTTCCCGATATACAGGGTTTATTTAGTTGTCTGAAAATGTAACACTTTAAAAAAAAAATACTGCGATAATACCGAAAACCGTGATAATTTTGGTCACAATAACCGTGAGGTTAAATTGTCACACCGTGACAACCCTAGTTATGAGTTGTTCGTTTTTATTCAGGTTACTGGTTTTGGTTTCTGTTACTGGTTTGCTGATCATCTCTGTTATGTGTTTTGTGCAGGTCAGCTGCAGCTCCGTCCAGGTGCCCTGCCCCCCCTGTGGGCTTCTCCCAAGTGTCGCAGCTGACTGTAATTTCCCAATTACCACCCTTACTTAAGCCACTGTTTTCCAGCCCTCAGTGTGGCGTTGTCTTTTTATGTATTGCTTGATAAATGCCAGTGTGCCTTCCTGATAATTACTTTCTGATTTGTTTTTCCCCACTGTGTGTGGTTAATTCTGGTTATTAAAAACCCTGAACCTGAACCAAGGCTTGTTATTCCTGCGATTGGGTTACTGCCTGAACCCCCCACTGACAGTCATCCAATTTTTTATGTCTTCAAGACAAGCGTGTAATCTACCTAACCGATCAGGTTCATCGGAGTTGATGGATAAATATAATAATCAGCATATCAGTGGAAGTTTATCCCATGCTGTCTAATGATTTTACCAATTGGGAGTATATATATATAGTAAAAAGAATTGGTGCAAGCACTGAACCCTGTGGTACTCCACAAGTAACCCTGGAGTATGAAGATTTGTCATGTACATTTACAAAATGAAATCTGTCAGACAGGTAGGATTTAAACCAGCCTAGCGCTGTTCCTTTGATCCCTACAACATGTTCAAGTCTTTCTAAAAGAACATTGTGATCTACTGTGTCAAAGGCAGCACTGAGATCTAACAAGACTAGAACAGACACAAGATTCTTATCTGAGGCCATGAGAATATAATTTGTAACTCTCACTAACACAGTTTCAGTGCTGTGATACTCTCTAAAACCAGACTGAAATACCTCAAACAGAGCATTAGTGTTTAAATGCTCACATACTTGGATGGCCACTATTTTCTCCAGGGCTTTGGATAAAAATGGAAGGTTCGATATTGGTCTATAATTCATTGGGTCATCTGGATCCAGAGTGGGTTTCTTAAGTGAAGGTTTGATTACAGCAACCTTAAAATCCTGTGGTACATATCCATTTACTAAGGATAGATTGATTATATCTAGAATGGGGGCAGTAACCAAAGGAAATGCTTCTTTAAATAATTTGGTTGGGATTGGATCCAAAATGCAAGTTGAAGGTTTAGATGAAGCTAATATTTTTGATAACTCTGAAAGCTCAACTGGATCAAAACGGTTCAAGCACAGATGATGTTCTACAGTCACCTCTGATGCTGCCTCACTTACTGAGGAAGAAGAAATCACATTAGGGAGGATGCTAAAGATTTTGTTTGTAATAGAGTTAATTTTACTTGTAAAAAATCCCATTGTTGCTTCTGAGGGCTAAGGGAATTGATGGTTCAGAGCTATGATTCTGTTGGCAACTGTACTGAAAATAAATTTTGGATTATTCTTATTCTCTTCAATTAGATGAAAAATAAGCAGTTCTAGCTTGTCGAAGCTTATTTTTATAAAGCACAAGACTATTTTTCCAGGATAAGTAGGACTCCTGGTGTGTAGAGCGCCATGTTCTCTCCAATTTTCTAGAGTTTTGTTTTAAAGTTCGTACATCAGAATTAAACCAAGGAGCCAACTTCCTGTGCTTAATTACCATCTTTTTAAAGAGGCAACATCATGTAATGCCACAAGTAAAGAAGAAGTAACATTATGAACTAAATCATCAATTTGTGAGGAGGGGCTAGAAATGAAAATATTGCCCTCTACTACATATTCATTCTTCTAAATCTTTAGGTTTAATTGTATAAAACTTTGTTTAGTTTTTGATTCAAAATATTCAAGTGTATAATTTTATATCTTTAGATTCTATTCCAAATATTTAGGTTATGTTTTTAGACTTGATTCTAACTGGATTGGTTTAACTTTAAACACCGAAAGTTGGTTCTAAATGTTTACCACGTTTATTAGACTCTAAACATTGAGTTTTTTTAAGTATTCAGAGTTTTATTTTTTTGTCCAGATATTTCATTTTTAACTCACACTCCACCATAACACTTGTTTTTTATGAATTGCATACAAATATTTAGGTTGTACTTTAGGCCTGGCTCTAGGTCTGACCAATAAAAACTGATACGTTTTCAATTAAGTGAAACTGCATTTTTAGAGGCTATTATTTAGGCTCAGCTTCATGTCATGCTAAAAATGTAGGCATGGTTTCTGCACATTCATGTCTATGCCTTTAAATGTTGATCTTTAAAAAAAGAATTAAAACATTTAGATTCAATTTAGAATGTTTGGGTTTTATATCATGTTGCACGTCATCAGTAGCTGGGCCAGTGTATCTTGTAGGAATGTATTGCACTAGTTTTATTTTGCATGCAGCACGTGGCAGGTCTACAAGTGACCAGGCCATGGTCACGTGGCTCGGTGTTTCTGACCTTTTGTGGCCCTGGCTGACGCGTTGACTCACTCAGATTCTGACTCACTGATATTAAATCTGTGTTTTCATATTTTACTGTGACTGATTGTCCTCCAGTCCTGCAGAAGTGAAAGCGCGCGTCATAGGGCGGCTCTGACGCATCGGTATAAAGACTTGCCTCCCTCCTTCTACTCGCTGCAGTCTTTTCTGTGTGGGTCCACGCTGCCGCCTGGAAGGACGCGCTGAGCGCTGCGTGTCACCAAAGCCTGAAGACTGTTGCGGAGACCCAATCAGATTTTTGTCTGTCGGGACTCTTCTCTCTCTTTGGATACCGCTGGCTTAGGCATTGGATATGTGCACAGAGGATGATGAAAACCCCTTTCCTCCCCGTAGAAGTAAAATAAAATAGGCTTTCGCACACACTGGATTTACTCCTGCCATTCCATATGAAGAAGTCAAAAGTAAGTGTGCCTTCTTGTTTGTTTGCTCGGAGGTAAATCGTCTGGCAGACGGGTGCAGCCTTCCTTCTGCGCACAAGGAACTAAAAACCTTTTGCATTTAAAATGTTTTACACCGCTTTTAACATGATATGAATCAGATGCAGCATGCTTTAGCGCTGGCTGGAAACAGCGAAAGTGGGCTAAAACCTGAAAGTGTCATGCTGGCGGCGTTATGCGTTAAAGTGCTCCACTATCTCTTAAGTTCATCAGGGCTGTTCGCCCTCTCTTCAGATCCGCGCTCCTTATTAACTTAACTGCGCCAATCCGACTCTTTTAAGTGTTTGCGCCATGACTGGATGCCACTTCTGCGTTATGCAACGCAATAACACGATTACAAGTTTTAATCTACCGATTTAAACCCATTATGAGTTAAATAAATCATAATTCAGTATGAGATCCGTGGAGACGTCCCAGGTGTATCCGCTGATCCGCAGGTGTGAGGACACAAAGTCCTGGTCTTTGATCCGCCGCCTCCAGTTATTCTTCACCGGAACACGGCCCACACCATGATCTGCATCCAGTTTTTTAGCGGAATATTCCCACTATTTACTCCTTAACTGGTGAACTTTTTCGTAATTTTCAGCTGTTATGTTTTATTGTGGAAAAATGAAGGAATTTTCACTTGTTGCATCCATTATGAGTCAAATAAACCCACGCTGCAGGTGTGAATGGCTAAACGAGCCTGTGCACACACACTTATCAGGGATTTAAACAGATTTAATGCGTGTTTACTTTTCACACAAGAGGTTGTTGAAACTAAAAAGCATTTCATCTCAGTTTAACTGCACATCTAAGAGGTTTGAGCAATCCCTGCCTCATGAAACCCATTTAATCTCAGTCAGACTCAAGCAAATAAAATAAGATTTAAGGCATATGGACAGCTGTGTGTGTGTGTGTGTGTGTGTGGCTGCCTCAATGATATTTAGTGCCTTTATACTTTATAATGAGGTTACTGCTGTGTGTCTGACTGTTTCAGCAAATGGCTTTCAGATTTGATTCATGTGCTCATAAACTGCCACTGATTATCTTCTGTCATGTAAAAAATATGTGCAGAGCTCATTTCACTTTTATTGTGTTTATTTGTTTGTTTTGATCTCTGCATCTGCTGCAAAAAACATCCCAGATAGTTTTTATTTTTTCCTTTAGAATTTGGACCGATTTTCCCAAACTGATCCGTGTTTTAACGCGTGAGATTGTTGATCCGATTCTGACTTGGCGTAGGACAAGCCTGTAGGTCAGCTGTAGCAAAGGGAATGTGTGTGAGATGGAGCGGGGTGCATGTCCTTCAGACCTTCTCACCACAGTTGGCTCCAGTAGGGAGCGCTCGTTTCCTTATGCCATGCACACATGGCTGCAGACAGTGGAAGGCCACAGTAGGTTCTCTAGACACCAGCATTAAATGATCATTTATCACAAAGTCAGTTCTAGATTAGTGGTCAGGTAGCCTTCAGCTAAACTTCCAGTACTTCCTGTGGTTTTTCTGTTGGTGAGTACCGGCCCAGGTGAGGAGATGTTTAGACGGCGTTGGCATCGAGGTGATTTGGATGCACGCACTGTCTGCAGCCTGTACCAGACACTGTGAAATCACAGGCCCACCACTCACATAATCTGTGCTCAGTCATACTTTCTCTTTACTGTCTCTGAGCTTTGGCCCACTGAGGACCAGCACACAACATCAGAGTCCCACAAGAACATGTTAGTGAGCTTTGAAGGTGCCGAACAGAGCAGACAGATTAGATTTATTGTGTCACGTGTTCCAGGAGGCGTGCAGGTGGAGGTGGGCGTGACAGCAAACGGGGTGTTAATGTGTTCAAACTGCACTCTGCTACTAATCACATCTGAATGAATTTGTTCAGTTCCTAATAAGATTATCCGTACAGCAGGAAACACAACGGACATCGTGAAACTGCTGCCAGCCTGCAGGATCATTGGTAGCATGGAGGGTGGGAAGAATTAGGCAGAATCTAATATTCATTTCATTATAAAAACCAGTCATGTTTCAGGCTTTTGTTCCTTCTTTGTTAATTATTTTAGTGAACATTAAGTCCTGGAAATGATTTATGAAGCCAGATCAAAGGGCGGGACACTGGTAGACGGCAGAAAAACAGGTCACATTAAAGAAGACGATTCACTTGTTAGCTACGCCTATCCGATGCTTCCCGACACTCGGGTTTCAAACGCTTTCCAGGTTCTTTAGGTCTGACTAGATCCATCTCAGGTCCCTCCGCTGTACTCCTTCATCTAAAGAAGGTTTGTGTTATTAGATTTGGAAGACTTTATGTGTTTCATGTTACTTACGTGTCTCTGTAATGCACTCAGCCCTTCAATTTATGTTCAAGTTCTTCTTTAGAATCCACACCTGGCGTTTCCTGCCTCGCTTTAATAACCTTCTCCTTTAGTCCTGCGCTCTTTCCCTGCTGAATTTTACGCAGCTTGGTGAATTGAGTCGAGCCAATATTAAGTTAAATGGCTGTAGCACTTGGACCCATGCAGGAGTTAGACATCAAGCCGCCATTCTGTCCAGTTGATGAACGACCACTTAATCACTGGAGCCACAGCTGCGTTTAAAAACCATCACAGGTTTTCTACAACTATGGACTCAGTAGGAAAAAAACGTGAATCAGTTTGCTTAAACGCCTGTATGACAATTGTTTCAGCGTCAGAAACTAATAAACACACAAACCGCTCCGTGTTTAACATACTTCGTTACTTCTAAGGCTGTTAAAGGAACAGCATGGTGATCATGTCGATCCTGAAGCAAATGCAAATACCTCAGCTTTTTAGAAGTGTGCTTTTGTGTAAAAGTCATGAATGATTAGTTTTACTGATTGATTTCTCAACAGAAATTTAACCATTTCTGTCTGATGGGAGCGATAAGCTGGTCTGAGCACAGCGTCTATCGCTGCTGTTTGAAATCAGATTCAGTGTCCAAATGTCACATCATTTGAGATCGGTTTCTAAGCCTTTATTCAATTCAATTCAAGTTTATTTATATAGCACCAAATCATGACAAGAGTCGTCTCAAGGCACTTCACACAGTAAACATTCCAATCCAGGTCAGTTCATTAAGCCAATCAGTAAAAAGTTTCCTATATAAGGAACCCAGCAAATTGCATCAAGTCACTGACTAGTGTCAGAGTCTTTACAGCAATCCTCATACTAAGCAAGCATAAAGCGATAGTGGAGAGGAAAACTCCCTTTTAACAGGAAGAAACCTCCAGAGAATCCCGGCTCAGTATAAGCAGCCATCCTCCACGACTCACTGGGGATGGAGAAGACAGAGCACACACACACACACACACACACACACACACACACACACACACACACACACACACACACACACACACACACACACACACACACACACACACACACACACACACACACACACACACACACACACACACACACACACACACACACACACACCAAGCAATGTGTCTATGGCTACACTGTGATTTCTTAGTAAATATTCTATTTGGTGAGAGATAAACTTTATTGTATTTATCCTAGTGGATCTATAATTAAACGGGTTAAGTGCCTTGCCCAAGGACACAAAGACAACGACAGAGTGAGCGGAGCTCGAACCTGCATACGTCCGATTACAAAGCCACCGTCAGGTATTTTGTACTGTTACAGATCCCAGTGCCAGTGTCAGGGCATTTGGTGTCTGATGAGTTTGAAGTTCCGGGATCAGGAAAAGGCCCGGGCCTCCTGATGGCAGCGTAGGTCTATTTGTTTGTCTGTTGGGTGATCTATGTGAGGATGTCGTGTTAAAGCATTGTTGACTTTTGTTGTGTACACTTTAAGTCACTCATCAAAATATATCAGATGACCTGAAGTGTGTTTGTCTTTGTACAAGAACACAGATAGGATTTAAAAGTAATGAAGCACTCTAGGAGACAGAAAATTTGCTGTGGGAGTTTAGATCGATTAACCATCACGCAACACAGGATATCACCCAGGAATTCCTTCTCAAACTGATGTTAGGGCTTGAGATTACCAGTTGGGACCCCTCTGTGGCTCATCAAACCATGGTTTGGGCTGGTGGCTGCGCAACAGTGCGATCATGTGAATACAAACACTATTGGGGAAATCATTGTCACATGGATGCGGTCAGAGCCAAGTCTGAGCCAGAGCCAAGCCTGCAGTATCGCCAAGCTTTTTCTTCTCTTTTTGTAAACTGGCAGGAAGTTTAAACAAGAAGCCAAAACACATCGCACACAAAACACACTAACATGGCACGGGGGTAATGCAGCATTAGACTGGATACCCACTAGAACACCAAAAAGAAACCAAATTCACAAGTTTGTATTCTCATTTTGTTTCTGCTTTCAAGTACAACAGGAAGTCTCATGCAGCCTGTTTGGCAATTAGCATGGTATGTTTAATGTTTGCAAGTTGTTTCCTTTTGGTATTTATAAGCTAAGGCGAAACTCTTACTATGCAAATAAACTGTTTATTATAGAACACCTTTAACTAGAGGAGCTGCAGGATGTTTGGATGCATGTTTGACTGTACAGCTATTTTTAACAATAGCTATTTTTTGGGGGCAGCAGTAGCTCAGGAGTTAGAGCGGTTTGCTTCATGATCGGAGTGTCATGGGTTTGATTCCAGCTCCCGCCAGGGATATTCTGCTGTTGTGTCCTTGGGCAAGACACTTCACCTAACTTGCCTGTATTGGTGGTGGTCAGAGGGGCCGGCGGCGCCAAATGGCAGCCTCGCCTCTGTCAGACCTCCCCAGGGTGGCTGTGGCTACAAAGTAGCTTACCATCACTAGCAGTGTGTGAATGTGAGAGTGCATGAAAGCGTCTTTGAGTGTCCTAAACAGGCGCTATATAAGTTTGATTATTATTATTATTATTATTATTATTATTATTATTATTATTATTATTATTATTATTATTATTATTATTATTATTATTATCATTATTCAAGAACACAAAAAGGTATTGTCT